AATGTTGAACTCAGTATAAACCCTGTAAGACATAAAATTGAATGAGTTTTTAACCTTTAAAAAAGATCTCCATTTCATTTTAGAATATACTTTCTTACAGAAAGACTCATTGTTTTTGCTAATAACACTTAGATGTTGGTGCATGCGTCTCTAATCTGTATGCATCTGATTATTACTAGATTATTACTAGTCACAGTCAGTTGCACTTGGATCCTTGGCACCTGTGTATGGATATAAAGTCATTGGGTACATTTTAATGGTAATGTTTAACACCTCTACTAATTAACATGACGTAAATTTTTACACTTCCTCCTTAAATATAACTCATTTTTATAATCTGTTGATTTTTTTGTGTATATCACACAGAACATCCCAAACCATCTTATTCATCTATATACCCACTTCCCAGATAGCAGCCTCCCATAACCAGCCAGCCAGCAGCCCTCTCCCCCAACTAGAGCCCTTATCCCTCTCTGTCATCCCTACTACTATCCACTGTGTTGTCAGCATCCCCAGCCATTCCCCACTACTTGTCCATCCGGTGAATATAGTCAGTCTATCTAGAGGTCTTTGTTTTAGGAAGGTCAATTGTTCCTCATTTAGCAGCAATCAGTTGTCAATATTCCTTTGGATAAGATTGGGGTCTGCTGTTCATTTTCCCAGTTCTATGCTGGGTTACAATCTGGGAGTCCCTTTGGGCACCCTGGCTAACAACTCAAAAGAAGGTATCTCCTATCTGGCATTGTTGCTTGTTATGTAGCCTTTAGGTATACATATGGACTCTTATGAAATTATATTGTCCCTTTAATCTTTGGTTATACTTTCCTTTGGGGAGTTTAAGGCCATACAGTTGGCCCAGAAAAACTAATTAATTTTTACTCTTAAGGCTGTTTTTGGATCTGTTCCTCAGGGGTCACATGGGCTTGGGAGGAGCCGCCTGGCTCCTTTCTTTTACCAGTTCCGCCTATGTGGAGATAAGTCAAAGGTCCTACTCGACCATGGCTGGCTTCGCTTGGAAGCATGGAGGAAATGTTTCCTCTGTGCTGACCCTCTTCTTTGTAGACTGGACACTGGTTCAAGTCCATCTCATGGGGTCTCCACAGCTAAATCCCCAACCCCATGTGTATGTCTTTTGTTGAGACAGGGTCTCCCTGTAGCCCCAGCTGACCTGGAGCTTACTAGGTAGACCAGGCTGGCCTCAAACTCAGAGATCCACCCGCCTCTGCCTCCCCAGTGCTGGGACTTAAGGCATGGACCACCATGCTAGGCTTTAAGGCTTTAACGTTTTTTTTTTGTTTTTTTTTTTAAAAAAAAACCTTGAAATCAGCCAGGCGTGGTGGCTCACACCTTTAATCCCAGCACTCGGGAGGCAGAGGCAGGTGGATCTCTGTGAGTTCAAGGCCAGCTTGATCTACATAGAGAGTTCCAAGACAGCGGAAGCTACACAGAGACCCTGTCTCAAAAAGACCAAAAAAAAAAAAAAAAAAACCAAAACAAACAAACAAACAAAAAAAACCTGGAAATCACAATTTTTATTTTTGATCTTTTTTAAGACAGGGTCTCCCTTGTAGCCCCACCTGGCCTGGAACTCGCTATGTAGACCAGGCTGGCCTTGAACTCACAGAGATCCGCCTGCCTCTGCCTCCTGAGTGCTGGGATTACCACCACATTTCATTTAAATCACAATTTAAATGTTATAATCTTTAGGGAAGATCAAAGCCATATGCCTCATGACAACTGGTTCTCAGCAAAATTACATTTGACCAAAACCTTTGAATTCAGTCTACACCTCGAGGTTATAATCATTTGCTATGCTGGGCCAACTTGCTTGCTTAACTTCCCCATAGTCAGCTGGTGACTTCCTCATCTCTCTCATCCAGTGTCTGGCACCTGGCAGTTGAGGCACAGACTGCACAGTAAAGCCTAGGTTCTCTCTTGTGATTCCCTCTCTAGACCTTGGTGTTCATAAGGCTGACAAGCTGTATTACACAAAAGCAGCAATACCCATCTTGTCTGTCTCCCTCGACATTGCTGGCTCTGAAGAAGTTGCTACTGCAGCTGTCAGGAAAACATCCTTGGAGGTGGATATTCCTCCAGTACAGCCTTCAGATGAGAACCTAGTCATGGCCAATACCTTGATTGCAGTCTTCAGAGTTAATCAGTGCCTGGAACGCTGACTCACAGAAATACTGAAATGCCAATGATATGTTGCTTTAACTCACCTAAAGAGGGGGCCAGCAAGATGGCTTGCCAAAAAATGGTACTTGCCACTGGGCCTGATAACCTGAGTTCAATCCCTGGAACCCACAAGGTAGAAGGCTGTCCTCTGACCTCCAGGTCTTCTGCACCATGGCAGCATGCACCCTGCCCCCCTCAACAAACATACGCAATAAATATAAATTTTTGAAATATTTAAAGTATGTCAGGCATAATGGTTAACACCCCTTTAATCTCAGCAGTTGGGAGGCAGAGGCAGGCAGGTCTCTTAAATTTGAGGCCAGCCTGATCTACATAGCAAGTCCCACGTCAGCCAGACCTACATAGTGGGACCTTGCCTCACCCTGTCATCCTCCTTTTCTTTCGTGTTTTACTTGATAAAGGGAATGTACCTTGCAAACCAAATTCCTCTCTGCTGCTGCTGCTGCTAGCCCTCCATGTTGCCTGGAGTCTCTCCAGGGAACACTCACAGCAGGAGCTTTGAGTCACTCTAGGCATGGTAGTCAGTGTTGCCTCAGAGGGGGGGACCTTGTTCAGCACTTTACATTTGATTCTTACTGTTCTGGAGTAGGACAGGTTCCATGCAGTGTTCCCAGGTTGGTATATTTTAATTTATAATAATTGTTATTTTCAAATGTGTTCAAGCTTCTGAGTTGGCTATTTTAATGTTTTGACTAAAATTGTTTTTACTAAATGCTGGAGTTATTTTTGTCTCAGAAGCTAAATCAGTGAGTACCCCCGGCCCCACGCCCATTCCACACTCCTTCGCAGTGGCTAAGTTTTGTTGCTTCCTTTAAAGCCTTATGGTTTATGGCTCTTTTACTGCCTCTCGAAATATTCTGAAAGGCTAACATTTGCTCTCTAAGACCCCAACACAGACCGTACCCTGCCTGCCACATGTTTTTAACCACTGTGTAGTCTTACTACCGTGGTTTTTGTTTTGTTTTGTTTTGTTTTTTGCAGACAGAGTCTCCTTGTAGCCCCAGCTGGCCTGGAATTCCCTATGTAGACCAGGCTGGCCTCGATCTCAGAGTTCCTCCTGCCTCTGCCTCCCAAGTGCTAGGTTAAAGGCATGCAGTGTGCCACCAGACCTGGATCCCTATTCTTCATTCTGTTTGAGAAAGCCCCTCTCTAGGCCACTTTCAGGATGGCAGGCACTGACCTGATCGCTAGTAATCCGGCAGCCAACTGCATTCTCAGTCCCTGCTAAGGCCAAAGTTATACTAAAGAAATGAATCATGCGGCTGGAACAACGGCTCAGCAGTTAAGAGTATACACTGGTCCTGCAGAGGGCCAGTCTGATTACCAGAATTCACATCAAGTGGCTTACAACTACCTATAAGTCCAGCTCCAAGGGATCTGACACCCTTTTAGACTCCTTGCACACATGCGTATACACACACACACATTTAGAAAAATAAAGATAGGGCTGGACAGATGGCTCAGCGGTTAAGAACACTGGTTGTGTTGTTCTTGCAGAAGACCCGGGTTTGAATTCCAGCACCCACATGGCAGCTAACAACTGTCTGTAACTCTGGTTCCAGGGGATCCAACGGTCTCTTCTGTCCTCGCGGGCATTGCCGACACAGATGCACTTACCTACATGTAGGCAATACATGTGTATACATAAAATAAATATAATAAATAAAATTTTTAAAAATTTGTGAATATTTAAAAAAAAAGAAAGAAAAAGATCAAGCCTTGTGATAGAGTTCAGATGGCAAGAGTAATGGTCTAGCATGCACAGAGCCCTGAGTTGGAGCTCCAGCACTAAATAAAAACCTGGTATGGGCCAGGCCTGGTGGTGCACGCCTTTAATCCCAGCAGAGGCAGAGGCAGGCAGATCTCTGTGAGATCAAGGCCAGCCTGGTCTACACAGCGAGTTCCAGGTCAGCTAGGGCTACAGGGAGACCCTGTCTCAAAAAGACAAAAACAAAAAACAAAAAACAAAAAAACCTGGTACGTTGGTGCAACCTTTGAACCTAGCACTCAGGGGTAGAGATAGTAGGATCAGAAGTGCAAAGTCATCCACAGCTACAGAGCAAGTTTAAGGACAGCCTGAGTTACATGAGACCTTGTCTCAAAAAAAAAAAAAAAAATCAAACTTTACTTGCATATCTTATTGTGACGTAGCCTAACGGTTAAGTGCTATGAGAATTCTTCATGACCTTTATAGCATGGCAGCATTCAGATAAACATGGAAACAGCCATCTCGCTGGCTATAAAAACCACCTTTGCACTTTCAGAATGATAGGTTTGTCATCAAAAGGAACACTATTCTTACCAGATTATCAAGCATCCGCATAAGAGCTTCAAACTCCTGCTCCCCAATCTGCCACTTGGGAGGTGATCCAGTTCCTTCCCCTGCTGGAGGCCCCGCAGAATGGGATTTAGCTTTGTATTTCCCAGGATCCAGCAGAACCAAGTTGTCTGGTCCTCCAGCACTGGCTAGAGTGCGAACCTTTTCCAAAACAAGGGAACATTATGGCTCAGTTTCATGTGGAGATGAGGAGAACCAGAGGACCACAAGATCCTTGAGCAGAAACATGTGTTTCCACAGAAAGCCAATAAAACACGTACAACAGGCAGTTCCAGCACTGATCCTAAGGTCATTTTCAGAAGTCTTTCTTTACCATGACCAACTCTGGGCACTCATACATGGCAGAAAGACAGGAAAGCAAAGCACCTTTCAGGATCCTAGCAGACTTAGAAGCTCGCTAGCCATAGACACTAGTAAGGAGCAGGGGACAACAGTGGTTAAAGCACTTGCTGCTCTTGCAGAGGACCCAGGTTTGATTCCCAGCATCCACATGGCAGCTCACAACTGTCTAGTACAGTAGAACTAGAAAGGAAGCAGCAAGGCTAAGAAGCAAATAATCTCCACCTCTGCTCTAGCTGTTTCAAAAGGATTGTGAGAGGGTCAAATGCAGTTGCATATAGAGGACACAGATGATGCCCTAGCAGCACATCAGTAGCATACACTACTGCTCCATAAATGGTAGCCATCTATAAGTATATAAAAACTAGAAATTAAAAACCCAGTAATCTTACTAATTTAAAAGATACTGCAAAGCCTCATTCTTGTAAGACAAGCATCCGAAAAATCTACGTAAACACTAGAAACACCTAAACAAACCACAGACTAAACAGAATGAACATCACCTACCTGAATCTCACATGCAACCACAAGGTTATGGATGTAATAAAAGGCCTCCTCGATGCTCTCTCCAACTGATACGAGTCCATGATTCCGAAGAATCAGAACCTAAGGGAACGAGAAAAGAACACCATGGAACAAGCACGAAGACTAATTCCTCTCTCAGCTCCTCTTCCCTCCATAACTGAACTAGATGAGATGCCTACTGACCTTGCTTTTAGGCCCCAGATTCTTCTGAATCAAAACTTTCTCCTCCTCATCAACCAGAATGCCGTGATAGTCATGATAAGCCACCTCTCCAAGGGAAAGTGCCTCTGGGGAGATTGGCAAGAGGCCACATTTCATCGCAGAGACCTAGACCCCAAGTGGACACCATGACAAAGAAAAGTCACAGTTAACCTGCAACTCATGACACAAGGGCTTTCCTAGTGAAATAAAATGAAAGTGAATGTATTTGCTTTCATTCTCTTCTTGGAAATACATGAACCTGTGACTTGGTATAGGCTTCACATTTAGGGCCCCTGACAGGAGCTGAGAGAGCTCAGGAGAAAACTCTTGAGCTGGGATTTTCCAGCAATTACAAATACTGTGCCAGCCAGGCCTTATGAATACAGTGAATCGTGGTTTAGTAAAGAGTACACAACAGACCCTCTAATGAGTTGCCATCAAAAGGACATGTTCCAAGTGCTATAGGTTTTGTTTGCTTTTCATCTTGGGCTATGGATAAGCACCAAACATCTAAAAATTATATGAAACTAAATTTACAACAAATTAGGGAAATTACACATTATATTTCCTCTACATTTACTTAAGTAAAATTGAGTGTCAAAAAATTCTAAGTAGTGGCTGGAGAGATGGCTCAGTGGTTAAGAGCACTGACTGTTCTTGCAGAGGACCCAGGTTCAATTCCCAGCACCCACACGGTGGCTACGAACCATCCTTAACTCCAGTTCCTCGGGAATCCAAAGCCCTCTTCTGATCTCCGCAGCACTGCACGACATGGGTACACTCACATACATGCAGGCAATACACTCATACACATAAAATAAAAATAAATAAATAGCCGGGCGTGGTGGAACATGCCTGTAATCCCAGCACTTGGGAGGCAGAGGCAGGTGGATCTCTGTGAGTTCAAGGCCAGCCTGGTCTACATAGCGAGTTCCAGGATAGCTGGGGCTACAGGGAGACCCTGTTTCAAAAAGACCAAAAAAAAAACCAGTAATAAATAAATAAATTCTAAGTAGTGAGGCATGGGGGTGCAGGCCTGCCACCCAGCTACTTGGCAGACTTGGGAAAAACAATCTCAACTTCCAGGCTTACATGAGCTACAGAGTGAGACTCTGACTCAAAATAAAAAGTAGAAAGAGGGTTGAGGATGCGGCTCAGTAGTGGAGTGCTTGCCTAGCGTGCATGATACCTTGGATACAATTCCCCGTACCATAACAAAAAGCAAAAATTTTACCCAACCTTTGGATTTCCTAAAATTCCCCAGTATTTGTCATAGAATACGCTAATTATTTAAACATTTCTTTATGTTGTGGGGTGGGGGGGTACATGCAAAAACGAACATGTAGAGGTCAGAGAACAAACTTGCAAGAATCAGTCCTCTCCTTCTACCATGTGGGTTCCAGGGACTGAATTCAGGTCATCAGGCTTGGCAGCAAGCACCCTTACCCACTGAGTCATCCAGCTGGCCAAAGAGTGTTCTACTTTTTTTTTTTTTTGGTCTTTTTGAGACAGGGTCTCCCTGTAGCCCCAGCTGTCCTGGAACTCACTATGTAGACCAGGCTGGCCTTAAACTCACAGAGATCTGCCTGCCTCTGCCTCCTGAGTGCTGGGATTAAAGGCATGCGCCACCATGCCTACAGCAGTACTATGAATGAAACTAACAGGCTCCAGCAAGTCAAATGACTCCTATAGGCATAATTCCATATACAAGTGTATCTAAAACAATTAACACGTGAAATTCCTTTCCTAGTATCAGCCATGATATGAGACATTTCCTACCCAAATATGAAGGTACACACCTGAAATCACATTACTCAGGAGGCTGAGGCAGGAGGATCATAAGTTTAAGGCAAGTCTGGGCTACATAGCAAGACCCTTTCTCAAAAGAAAAAAAAATCTTTATCAAGCCAAGTTATTTGGATACTCTCACTATGCTTTGCTCTTATAGTAGACTAAACCCAGGGCCTTCCTCATGCTAGGCAAGCACTACCTCTTATTACTAGCCAACTATGATGATTTGGGGGGAGAAGAACCTTGAGACATAGTCTCACAATGTATCCCAGGGACTGATCCATGATCCTCCTACTTCAGCTCCCCAAGTGCCACAACTGCAGGGATGGACCACCATGTCTGGTCCCTGATAACTTGAAAACATATCACATAGCAGATATTTGTAACCTTGCTCTCTAAGGTACCCCTAATGAGCCTTAAAACTTCACAGTCATGAGCAGAAGAGATGGCTCAGTGGTTAAGAGCACTTGCTGCTCTTGCAAAGGACCCAGGTTTGATTCCCAGCATCCACATGGTAGCTCACAACTGTCTAGTACAGTTCCAGGGGATCTGACCCCCTCTTCTGACCTCCACGGGCACTGCAAACATGTGGTATAGTTACAGACACTCAGGCAAAACATTCAAACACATAAAATTTAAAAAAAGATTTAAAAAAAAAAATCACAGTTCTTTCAGTGGTTGGAAAAGCATGCATGGTTAAGGAATTAAATCACTTCAAAAACAATTTATCTAGTAAAATTCTGGTATTGGCAGCAAGAACTGTATGACCAGCTAGGTACAGTGGTGTGGACCTTAATCCTTACACTTTGAGAGGCTGACGCAGGAGGATCAAATGTTCAAAGCCAACTTGGATTATATAAGGAGACTCTACCTCAGTAGGTTTAGGGCAAAAGGTTGCTATATGTGGCCACACAGCTCCAGGTCAAGACAGGGCTATATAGCAAGACTATCTTAAAATACATAAATAAATAATAAACAAAACAGCTTCAGCAAAGTAAGTAGAGTGTGGGGTATAGCTCATAGGGACTGGAGAGATGGCTTAGCTATTAAGAGTACTGGCTGCTCTTACAAAGGACTCAGGTTCAATTCCTAGCACCCACATGACGGCTAACAACCATCCATAACTCCAGTTCCAGGGGATCCAACACCCTCTTCTGACCTCTGTGGGCATTACACGACTGACATCAGGTGTCTTGCTCAGTTACTTTATTGCTTTCCATCTTGTTTGTTTTTTTGAGACATGGTCTCCCTGTAGCCCCAGCTGCCCTGGGGCTACTATGTAGATCAGGCTGGCCTAGAACTCACAGAGATCCACCTGCCTCTGCCTCCCGAGTGCTGGGATTAAAGGTGTGTGCCACCACTTCTGGCTGTGTTTTTTTAAAAAGACAAAAATAAAGAAAAGAAAAAGAAGAAAGCTGTAAAATTATTTTTCTCTCTGTGTGTGTGATGTGTGAAAGATGGGTTGCATAGACCAGAGGAGGATATCAGGTGTCCTGTTCTATCACCCTCCAGTGTATTCCTTGAGACAGCATCACTTACTGACCCTTGAGCTGAGTTGTCAGGCAGCAAACCCCAGCGATCCTGCTGTCTTTACTCACCACAGTACTGGGTTACAGGCATGCACATGACCACTCACAGATTTTTATGTGGGTTCAGAGTATCTCAGCTCAGGTCCTTATCTTGCACAGCCAACATTCTTATGTACTGAGCCATCTCATACATACAGATGTATATAGGGAAGTAGAGACAGATGATAGAGAGACAGGTGGAAGGGAGGGAGGGAGGGAGGGCTTTGACTCACTGACTTGCTACAACAATCAAGGGCAATTCAGAGCCATAACACTAAGAAGCCGCCTAGGTGGCATACTCACTGCAGCCCCTGCTGGTGTGTGAATGTGCACAATACATTTAGCGTCTGGACGTGCGGCATAGATTGCAGAATGTAATGTGAAACCAGCCTGATTCACTCCCAGGTTAGTGCTTCCACGGTCTACTATGTCTCCTTGTAAATTGACCTTAACCTGCAAAATAAAGGAAACTTTTAACGGCAAGAAGACTTCAAGGTACCCTTCAAAGATCCAATACAATCTTTATAAAGATGATGCCAAATACATGGGCAATCTCACCAAGCTGGATGCAGTCACTTCACTGTAAAGAAGTCCAAAAGGTACGATGAGGAAGTGTTCCTGCTCAGAGTTTACTCTAGTCTGTGTGAAAAATGACTGAGTTAGCTCACAAGTCCAATTAAAATTACCTGTGTCACTTTCAGGAAACAAACTCACAGGTGAACGATGCGAAAGGAACTAAAGCCTCCCTTTGTTCTTGCATTGCATAGCATAACTATTTAACTTATCAGGCACATCTTAGTCATATTAAGGAAAACAGACTTCACAGAGAACAAGCCGAACAAGTCAATTCAAGACTTGCCCCATGATAGGTCAATTAGTTCTTGCAAAACTGCTGTATGGCCATTGATTCATGGTAAAATGGTGGTGTTCCTCAGAGGCAGAATAAGAAGCAAACCTGCTTCGTAAAAGCTTTTCCAAAAAGAAAAAGCTTTTCAAGGGGCTGCAAAGATGGCTCAGTGGTTAAGGGTGCTAACTCATCTTGCAGAGGACCCAGGTTTGATCCTGAGCACCCATATCAGATGGCTCACAACCATCTTTAAGTGTCTAATGTCCACTTCTGGAATCCACGGGCACCTGCTCCTGTGATGTATATACAGACAAGCAGGTATACACATATAAACATTACCTAAATAGTTTTTTCAAATTTGTGTTTTTGTTAATACTCAAATCCTATAGGATGGGAAAATGACAATGTTCACAAATGAAAACACTCTCTCCTTACTGCTTCATGCACTTGTGAATTTTCTACATCACCCACCCTCTTGTCTGTTTGCACCTTCCACAGTACATGTCTCTCATCGCAATTCATTTACCACAGAGATGGCACTGTAAATCCAGCAAGTACTAGACAGCAGGAATACAGCAATAAAAAAGTCCTCCCCATGATAAAAATATTTCATTTTTTCCTCAATGTATAGTTTTCACTGAATTTGTGTGTATTACAGATAATACATTTTAATCATACTTAGACCCCTCCCCCAAAGAGCTTCCCTACCAGATCTCATGCATTCTGTCACATACATGAAAGGCAAAGTACTTCATTTTTATAAAAATTTGGGGATATATAATGTGTATAATTAAAAAATATACACACACACACACACACACACACACACACACACACACACTCTTCTTGGTAACCTTTTTTAAAGCTCTGTGTCAACAGCCAAGCAGATCAATACCTCCCCAGTGCTAAGATTAAGGTGTTCACCACCTTAATGCCCAGTTTACCTGACATTTTAATTCTGCCAATGTAGAAACAAATAAAGGGGGAGGGGGCCTGCCATTTAAATGAGTCAAAGTTACTAAAATAGTATTCAAAACAAGTTGAATGGGCACTTTAACATCCACAAAAAAATGAAACTACTGTTAAAACCATGGACTGTACCTCCTAGTATAGTTGAAACATTTTCAAACTTTTTTTGGTCTTTTTGAGACAGGGTCTCCTCCCTGTAGCCCCAGCTGACCTGGAACTCGCTATGTAGACCAGGCTGGCCTTGATCTCACAGAGGTCCTCCTGCCTCTGCCTCTTGAGTGCTGGGATTAAAGGCATGAGTCACCAGCCCAGCTTCAAGGAATCAACTTTTATGTGACCATTTAGCCTTAAATTCCCATTGGAGCTTCCTGTTCAGCATAACAGTCAGAAAGGCCAGCAATTTTTCAGCAGGCTGGGATGGGCACCGGCACATGAGCTAAGCTAACTAGCACCAATGATCAAATATCACAAAACCCGATCCACAATTTTCCTGAAGTACTCTGAATTCAGCTAGGACTTTCACTCTGTCAGTCACTGTAAAAACAGTTTATATGTGCCATCACTGTGCCAGGGCTACAGCAGGGCACACAACAGTGGCTGTTCTTATGGAGCTGATATTCCTGGAAACAACTAGACAGTAACAAAAATGTGTAGAGAGGGGTAACAGTCACTGCTGCAGACAGAGAGCAGGATAACATCCCCACCATGTGAGGGTGCAGCACAGAGGGTACCTGATCGGCTTGTGTTCTGCAAAGCTCATTTTAGCAACAACGTAGAGAACACGTGGAAAAGGCGACTCAGCATCTCCGGCCAAGCTCAGTGTAAAGGGCTGCACACTCAGCGCATGGTCACAAGAGAAGTTCTAGACAATACCTCAGCAGGTCTACCATTCCTGAGTCAGGAGGGAGCTGAACTGCGGACAAGTCAGGAGTTCACATGTGATCAACCTCCACAAATGTGTACATGGAGAACAAGATCCAACAACCTAAGTGGCTTCTGACTCTGGCTGCCTCAAGGGTAACAGAAGTACTGACAGGACTGAGTTTTCCTTTAGACATCTGCAACACACACACATAAGGTTCTCTTGCTACAAGAAGCAGGCCATTTTATAAATAATTGTAAAAATTCTATACTGCAAGTTGGAGACTAACCTGGGTCCTGTGGTGAGTTAAGGCCAACCTCAAAAATAGTAAATGAGGGTTCTGGAGAGATGGCTCAGTAGTTAAAAGCACTAGATGCTCTTCCAGAGGCTCCAAGTTCAGATCTCAGCACTCACATCAGACAGCTCACAACCACCTGTTAACTACAGCTCCAGGGAATTCGACACCGACTGAGGCACCTCCATGTACCTGCACATACATGCATACAGATCGATCACACACACACACACACACACACACACACACACACGTTTTCTAAAAAACAAATGATAGAGCATACCTTTAATCCCAGCACTCAGGACTGGCAGGCAAAGTCAGCCTAGTCCACATAGGGAGTTTCAGGTCAGCCAGGACTACACAGTGAGACCCTGACTCAAAAACAAAACAAGGGCTGGAGAGATGGCTCAGTGGTTAAAAGGACCAGC